CCAAGCTCAAACTGGCCTCCAATGGTGTTGAAGATCAATCTAGGGCACTTGGAGACTCTTGTTCGTTGCTTTCTCTCTCTAGGAATCGTTCTATCTCTCAAAAACTCGAATCCCCTTCCCTTTGGCTGAAAATCTGCTTAAAAAGGCATCAGTGGCCAAAGCACGGTCGAGGGCACGGCCGTGTAATGCCTCAGCCCGCCCGTGCTTTGGCTAGGGTTAATTACACGGCCATGTGTTGGGAGAAACACGGCCGTGCTTTAGGGAGGACACGGCCGTGCTTTGGTGGAACACGGTCGTGCTTTCAGCCCGTGTTTGCAACCTGAATTTGCCAAACTCAATTAGCTCTCGGCAGTAAAAGCACGGCCACAGAACACGGCCGTGTAATGGTTTAGGTGTGCCCGTGTTTTGGCTCCAGCTTGACGAAATGACTTCTGAATGCCCTGAAACTGGTGCTTAGCCTTTCCTTTGACACCTGGGACCTGAAACATGACAAAATAGCACAACCCGGCGTAAAATAGGCCAAAAATACACGACTATGCCCCTCAAACGGATAAGAACTAGGGGCACAAATATGTGCAATTACATCGTTATCAAATTCCCCCACACTTAACCGTTTGCTTGTCCCCAAGCAAACCTAACTCAAACCAATGCAGCTCTCCAGACCTCTATAGCAACAAACAACCCAGATCGTAGGTAGAGGACTTCCTAGATCATTTAGCAACTTACGAGGTCAACCGACGGACAAGTCATCTCATAGCTTCTTCGGCGAGAGCACTAGTATCGAGTCGGCATCATGGCAAATAGTGAACAGAGGACAAATGAATTGTGGATGAAGAGATTCTCAAAAACAAAGGATCATGGACTCACATTTTTCAAGGTGCTCTATTTTCTTCTTGAAGATGGTTGGAACCCCTTTTCTTTCTGTTTTGCTTGTTTTCTGTTATTTTTTCTTTTTTTTTCTTTTTTCAAGGGTCCCAACCGGCTCTTACCGGCCATGCCAGGAGTGGATGTCTCGAGCCTCGTGCGGGGGAAAGACATGTAAGGGGGCTGGAGGTAGTAGGTGGAAATTGGGAACGAATTCCCGTCTCCCCTTACACACTTTCGCCCTATTCGCACGGGAGACGTTATTTTGAAGCACATTTTCGAGCACCTGTTAAACTCAAAACATGAAACAAGAGTCCATGACAGGTAGAGAATCCACAACACCACACAATTCAAGGGTCCTAAGATCACTAATTCACTCAATCAACCAACACAATATGAAGAAGAAATGAGACTTCTTAAATGCATCAACATCCTCCATAGTGCTACACTACCTCCCTAGGTTGCATATTACTATAAAGACTGTCAATTCAAAGCATACTGAGCAGGCAATTGCAAGGAACACGTACTTGGAGCCCTCAAATTTAAAAATTTGGACAGTGGACCAGGCCCCAAGCACACAAACAGATCTAATGCAATCAAAAGATAAACATCCCCCCACACTTAAGATCGACATTGCCCTCAATGGAGAAGAGGGAAGGAAAAGGGGAAACGATGTTACCGGTATGCACGGACTGCAGGAGACTGGAGACGGGCCAGTCGGAGTGAAGCAGACTGGAGAGAGGACCAGTCAAGACAAGCACAGCTAAAGGAAATAGAAGAGCTCAAACACAATATGTTAGGTCTAATGTCAGCCCAATAAGACATCATCCAAAACAAAAGAAAAAAAAAACCAAAACCAACTGGTTTACAATCCGACTCAAAACACAAGAAAGAAAATCAAACCGTGGTGAGGTTGCCTCCCCACAAGCGCTTCTTTACCGTCTTTTAGCTGGACGCCCATGGTGAATACTCAAGGAGGTGCAGGAACAGGTGCCTCCAAGAGCGGATCCACGTCGCTCTTGAGGTACAGCTTCAGGTTGTGGCCATGCACCCGACGGATGCGACAACCATCATCTGTCAGCTCGACCTGGCCATCCGGTAAGATGCAGGCGAGTGAGTACCCGGACGGCCAGGGTGGTCGTGGTGCAGGAGGTGGGACCAGCTCATAGTGGTCGCCACCCTTCTTCCGTGCAGGCTTAGCAACCTGCTGCTTCGGCCGCCACTCCTCCTTGAGCTTTTTGTTCGGAGGCGAGGCTGGATGGAGTGGCGGCAAAGGAATGATAGGAGGGTCCTGCAAAATAAGAGGTGCAGAAGGATACACGACAGGCTCGTGTACCTGATCAGAAAGGGCATGCACAGGTGTGACAGCAATCATATCACAGTGATCGAATTCAGTCACAGAAAAAGTAGCCTGTTCATTCCCAGCATGCAGGATCAGTTTACCATCATGCACATCAATAAGTGCCTTGGCGGTGGCAAGAAATGGTCTACCCAGAATCAAAGGTACATCCACATCCTCATGTATATCAAGAATAACAAAATCAACAGGATATGTGAATGCACCGACACTGACAAGCAGATCCTCTATGATTCCCCTAGGATGCACAATGGAACGATCAGCTAGCTGAATGCTCATCCTAGTAGGGCTAAGTTCACCTAGGTCTAGCTTTTTGTACAACTTATATGGCATGACATTTATGCTAGCGCCTAGGTCCGCCAAGGACTTGCCTACATGCATGCTGCCAATAGTAAGAGGGATGGTAAAACTCCCTGGATCCTTGCGCTTCTCGGGCAGCTTGTTCTGCAGGATAGCAGAACACTCCTCGCTCAGCAACACTGTCGAGAGATCCCCAAGTTTCTTCTTGTTGGTGAGGAGATCTTTCATGAACTTGGCATACTTGGGCATCTTCGACAGTGCCTCCACGAACGGTATGCTGATGTTGAGCTGCTTCAACATTGCCATAAACTTGGCAAACTCAGTCTCCAGCTTGTCTTTGTGTAGGCGAGTGGGGAAGGGAAGCTGGGGTACATGCTCCTTAACCACTGGTTGTGGCTTGGGAGCAGGGGCTTCCTTCTCCACCCGCACTTCTGCATCGTCGGCTGGAAGTGCTGAAGCAGGTAATGGTTCCTCCTGTCTGGCCGGGACAGGATCAGCAGATATGGTCTTACCGCTCCTGGTAAAAATGGCATCCAGCTGCTGGAGCTGGTGAGGATCCCGAGGATTCGGGATAGTGGTGGCAGGCAGAGTCCCCGGTGCCCTGGTAGTGTTTTGGCGGGCCAAGATGCCCACCTGGGTTTGCAGATCTTGCAAAATGGCACCCTGGTTCCGCTGACCTGCCTCCAGTGACGTGATAGCAGCCTGAGTGCTAGTCATGAATGAAGCTAGAATATTTTCCAGCTTTGTCATCCGGTCATCTGGGGCAGGAGCTGCTGCTGGCTCGACAAACTGGCGCTGGGGTTGCTGGAATGGTTGCCCCTGCCTAGGCTGGTAGGGCTGCTGCTGTGGGGCTGGCCCCTGTCGAGCCTGGAAGGGCTGCCTCTGCTGAAAACCACCTGCTGGTGCTGGGAAACCAGGTGGTTTAGTGGTGTTGCTGGTCCAGGCGAAGTTGGGATGCTGGCGCCAGCCCTCATTACATGTGTTGCTGTACGGGTCGAGGCGCCGAGCATTGGCGATGAAGTCCAACTGCTCTTGGGGAGTGGTAGACTCCCTCATAGCCTAACAGTCCTCCACCAGGTGATTTGAGCTCTCACACCACTGACATTGAGCTACTGGAGGTGTAGCCAAACCTATGCCCGGAATAAGACTGTTGGGCTGCTTCAATGTCTGCACTAGCTCAGCTACCTGCTGCTCGAGCCCGGATCTGGTCTCCATGGCGTGCACACCACGGTCCCGGGACTGTCTGCCTCGGCTACCCTGTCCCCAAGAATGATCTCTGGCGGCCAAAGTACTGATCATCTGGTTCAGCTCGGGTGGAGTCTTAGTAAGAATATCCCCTCCTAGGCATAAAGACTCAATCACCCTCTGGCTATCTGGGGAGAGAGCACTGTAGAAGTTCCCCACTGTGAATGCATCACTGAAGCCATGATGGGGACACTTCCAGAAATATCCCATGTATCGCTCCCAAGCATCACGAAGTGACTCATCTGGCTCTTGGCGGAAGTGAGTGATCTCCCGCTGGATCTCTGTAGTCATCGATGCCAGATAGTACCTGTGCACGAATTTGTCAGCCAGATCGTCCCAAGAGGTGATGGACAATGGGGGCTGGGTCTTCAACCACCTCTTAGCATTCCCCGCCAGAGAATGGGGGAAGAGATGAAGGCGGATTGCATCATCAAGGACACCATTCAGCTTGAACCCGTTCGTCAGCTGTAGAAAACGGGAAAGATGCACCCTGGCCTCCTCATGCTTCAAGCCATGGAACTGGATAGAGGATGTAATGAGCTGAATCCAGCATGGCTTGATCTTGAAGTTATTTGCTGGAATAGGCGGGTAGAGGATGACCGGGCGGATGTCAGCAATCCGTGGAGTGTAGTAGTACTCCAAGGTGGGACCCGGCGGCGGTGGATGATGAACCCCATGATCCTGGGGTATGGGGTTGTTCCCTAGGACCTGATTCACCGGGGGAGCCTGCTGAGGATTCCCCTGGTGTTGATTGTACTCTCCGTCCATCCTGTACTCTTCCTCAGAATCGCTGCTCAGGTGGCCGTCTATGCGCTCTTCCGTAGCCAGTCTAGCTCGCTGTTGTCTCCTAAGTTGGCGACAGGTGCGGTCTATCTCTGGATTCAACGGCAGTAAACCTCCCGAATGGCTACGGGTCATGCACTACCTGCACACACTCAAGCAAGCACACCCGTGAAGGCACAAGTGGGACAAAGCAAACAAAGCAAAAAGAAAAGCTAAATTAACAAAAATCACTTTTCTTCAACAACCTAGCCGTCCCCGGCAACGGCGCCAAAAACTTGACTCACTTCTACTGTCACCCTAGGAATTGGCCAAGTATAACCACTTCCTAAAGCGTAGTATAGCGGGTTTAGGTTTAATTATCAACCCGGGTCCTAGATCTGATGACTACTCAGTGAATTCTTGTTATCTAGCAATGAAACTGGAATGCAAGGCTAAACTATCAAACTAACAAAGGAAGTAAACTGTTGTATTCAGGTTAAGAGAGGTCACCCGGATATGGTTCCCCCTAGACTGCAGTTAAGCCAGATTGTAATTACCAAGTTCAGTTTCTATGATAGTTATACTGCGGAAGGTTCTTAAACAGCCTGAAGTCTCGACTAAAGGTCTTCAGACCCTCTCAATCTGAATCTCTAGCGGGCGACTAACCTCCACTGGAGTAAACAGATTGAGGCCTTAACAAACAAAACCTCCACTACCGGAGTAAATCCGGTACTAGAATAGTGAGTTGGCTCCTCGACTAAAGTCACCAACTCCCTACCTTCAATCAAGGATGCTCTATTAACCTAGGCAGATATTCTCATTCTAGGTTAAAGCAGAAACAACAGGAATTTGATCAGGATTCAAGTCATTCAATCATTCAAACCTCAATCGAATATAATCAAATCATAGAATCAGTACTTGGGTTCATACAATCAAAGCCTAACATACAAATATAGGGTTCTCCATACCCAGATGAATGGGAGAACTACTCCATGGAGAAAAAAGCAAAAGCAGAATCAGACGCGGAATTCATACTGTGAAGGATGGATTCCTGCTTCTGGACGTTGATCGGCACTTCTCCAAGCTCAAACTGGCCTCCAATGGTGTTGAAGATCAATCTAGGGAACTTGGAGAGTCTTGTTCGTCGCTTTCTCTCTCTCTAGGAATCGTTCTCTCTCTCAAAAACTTGAATCCCCTTCTCTTTGGCTGAAAATCTGCTTAAAAAGGCACCAGTGGCCAAAGCACGGTCGAGGGCACGGCCGTGTAATGCCTCAGCCCGCCCGTGCTTTGGCTAGGGTTAATTACACGGCCATGTGTTGGGAGAAACACGGCCGTGCTTTAGGGAGGACACGGCCGTGCTTTGGTGGAACACGGCCGTGCTTTCAGCCCTTGTTTGCAACCTGAATTTGCCAAACTCAATTAGCTCTCGGCAGTAAAAGCACGGCCACAGAACACGGCCGTGTAATGGTTTAGGCGTGCCCGTGTTTTGGCTCCAGCTTGACGAAATGACTTCCGAATGCCCCGAAACTCGTGCTTAGCCTTTCCTTTGACACCTGGGACCTGAAACATGACAAAATAGCACAACCCGGCGTAAAATAGGCCAAAAATACACGACTATGCCCCTCAAACGGATAAGAACTAGGGGCGCAAATATGTGCAATTACATCGTTATCATGCTCCTACTTTGGAACCTGAGGAGGTGACATCCCAAAATATGAATGTCGTGGAGGAATGCGATGGTGCTCCTCAGTCTGGGGAAGCAGCAAGCCAAATTTCGAATGTGGAGATTGAGTTCCATCGCATCTCTCCACTTTTAGATGCTGTTTCTGAAGCATCTCCAATGGTTGGCACCCTAGTGCATTCAGACTTTAATATCTCGACGGCAATGTTATTGGCTGCAACCGAGTTACTCGGCCCAGAGTTTTTTGAGAACTAAAGTTTATGAAATTCCAACTTGAAATAACATTGTAAAATATTATGTAAGATACTCGGTCATATGTATAGCTTAGCTTATATACACCTGTAGTAGGTAATGTACAATGGGCTTCCAAACTTTTGTAATAATAAACACGCTGCTTTTATTGCTAGCTATCTTTCACCCTACCATGGTATTTATTTAGGGAACAAATCCACTAGGAAGTTTATTTAAAAGATAGCAAGGGTATACCATATTTATGGAGTAAAGTATCTCCTTAGATGCATTGTGTTCCAAGTCCTTGACATGTCTTGACCATCACGGAGTGATAGTTTTACAGTATTTGGTCCCACCACTTTACGCACTTTGTAAGGACCCTCCCACTGGGGGGTGAACTTTCCTTGACTTGGAATGTGTTTGAAGTTTCTCCTCAGAACCCACTCCCCTTCCCTGATGGGTCGATTTCTCACCTTGGCGTTGTAGTAACGCGCGATCCTCTCTTTGGAAGCGGCGAGTCGCAAAAGTGCTTCCTCTCGACGCTCCTCGATGAGATGTAGATCATGAGTGAGCTCGATTTGATTTTCATCAGGGTGGAATGCTTGAATTCTGTAAGAGGAGAGCTCCATTTCAATTGGCAGCACAACATCGGTGCCAAAAGTCAAGGCATATGGTGTCTCCCCAGTGGAAGTCTTGTAAGTTGTCCGGTGGGCCCAAAGCACATGGGGCAGCTCCTCGACCCATCGACCCTTGGCCTGGCCTAATCTGGTTTTTAGGCCCCATAGGATGCTTTTGTTAGCAGCCTCAGCCTGACCGTTAGCTTGAGGATAGGCCACCGAGGCATATCGAAGTAAGATTCCATATTGGGTGCAGTAGGCCTGTAAATCTTCGCTTGTGAATTGTGTCCCCTGATCCATGATTAGAGTGTGAGGGAGACTGAACCTGCATAAGATGTTTAGCCATAAAAACTTTTCAACTCTCTGAGTGGATAGGCTAGAGATCGCCTCAGCCTCAATCCACTTGGTAAAATAATCAATGGCTACGATCAGCCATTTCTTTCGTCCGGGAGCCGTGGGAAAGGGTCCCAAAAAGTCCATCCCCCATTGAGCGAATGGCCATGGCCCAATGTTAACCTGCATTTTTGATGGAGGTGCATGAGTGGTTTGCGCGGCCACCTGACATTTGGGGCATGCTTGAGCATACTTTTGAGTGTCCCGCCGCATCCTTGATTGAAGGTAGGGAGTTGGTGACTTTAGTCGAGGAGCCAACTCACTATTCTAGTACCGGATTTACTCCGGTAGTGGAGGTTTTGTTTGTTAAGGCCTCAATCTGTTTACTCCGGTGGAGGTTAGTCGCCCGCTAGAGATTCAGATTGAGAGGGTCTGAAGACCTTTAGTCCAGACTTCAGGCTGTTCTCCATACCCAGATGAATGGGAGAACTACTCCATGGAGAAAAAAGCAAAAGCAGAATCAGACGCGGAATTCATACTGTGAAGGATGGATTCCTGCTTCTGGACGTTGATCGGCACTTCTCCAAGCTCAAACTGGCCTCCAATGGTGTTGAAGATCAATATAGGGAACTTGGAGAGTCTTGTTCGTCGCTTTCTCTCTCTCTAGGAATCGTTCTCTCTCTCAAAAACTTGAATCCCCTTCTCTTTGGCTGAAAATCTGCTTAAAAAGGCACCAGTGGCCAAAGCACGGTCGAGGGCACGGCCGTGTAATGCCTCAGCCCGCCCGTGCTTTGGCTAGGGTTAATTACACGGTCATGTGTTGGGAGAAACACGGCCGTGCTTTAGGGAGGACACGGCCGTGCTTTGGTGGAACACGGCCGTGCTTTCAGCCCTTGTTTGCAACCTGAATTTGCCAAACTCAATTAGCTCTCGGCAGTAAAAGCACGGCCACAGAACACGGCCGTGTAATGGTTTAGGTGTGCCCGTGTTTTGGCTCCAGCTTGACGAAATGACTTCCGAATGCCCCGAAACTCGTGCTTAGCCTTTCCTTTGACACCTGGGACCTGAAACATGACAAAATAGCACAACCCGGCGTAAAATAGGCCAAAAATACACGACTATGCCCCTCAAACGGATAAGAACTAGGGGGCGCAAATATGTGCAATTACATCGTTATCATGCTCCTACTTTGGAACCTGAGGAGGTGACATCCCAAAATATGAATGTCGTGGAGGAATGCGATGGTGCTCCTCAGTCTGGGGAAGCAGCAAGCCAAATTTCGAATGTGGAGATTGAGTTCCATCGCATCTCTCCACTTTTAGATGCTGTTTCTGAAGCATCTCCAATGGTTGGCACCCTAGTGCATTCAGACTTTAATATCTCGACGGCAATGTTATTGGCTGCAACCGAGTTACTCGGCCCAGAGTTTTTTGAGAACTAAAGTTTATGAAATTCCAACTTGAAATAACATTGTAAAATATTATGTAAGATACTCGGTCATATGTATAGCTTAGCTTATATACACCTGTAGTAGGTAATGTACAATGGGCTTCCAAACTTTTGTAATAATAAACACGCTGCTTTTATTGCTAGCTATCTTTCACCCTACCATGGTATTTATTTAGGGAACAAATCCACTAGGAAGTTTATTTAAAAGATAGCAAGGGTATACCATATTTATGGAGTAAAGTATCTCCTTAGATGCATTGTGTTCCAAGTCCTTGACATGTCTTGACCATCACGGAGTGATAGTTTTACAGTATTTGGTCCCACCACTTTACGCACTTTGTAAGGACCCTCCCACTGGGGGGTGAACTTTCCTTGACTTGGAATGTGTTTGAAGTTTCTCCTCAGAACCCACTCCCCTTCCCTGATGGGTCGATTTCTCACCTTGGCGTTGTAGTAACGCGCGATCCTCTCTTTGGAAGCGGCGAGTCGCAAAAGTGCTTCCTCTCGACGCTCCTCGATGAGATGTAGATCATGAGTGAGCTCGATTTGATTTTCATCAGGGTGGAATGCTTGAATTCTGTAAGAGGAGAGCTCCATTTCAATTGGCAGCACAACATCGGTGCCAAAAGTCAAGGCATATGGTGTCTCCCCAGTGGAAGTCTTGTAAGTTGTCCGGTGGGCCCAAAGCACATGGGGCAGCTCCTCGACCCATCGACCCTTGGCCTGGCCTAATCTGGTTTTTAGGCCCCATAGGATGCTTTTGTTAGCAGCCTCAGCCTGACCGTTAGCTTGAGGATAGGCCACCGAGGCATATCGAAGTAAGATTCCATATTGGGTGCAGTAGGCCTGTAAATCTTCGCTTTTGAATTGTGTCCCCTGATCCATGATTAGAGTGTGAGGGAGACTGAACCTGCATAAGATGTTTAGCCATAAAAACTTTTCAACTCTCTGAGTGGATAGGCTAGAGATCGCCTCAGCCTCAATCCACTTGGTAAAATAATCAATGGCTACGATCAGCCATTTCTTTCGTCCGGGAGCCGTGGGAAAGGGTCCCAAAAAGTCCATCCCCCATTGAGCGAATGGCCATGGCCCAATGTTAACCTGCATTTTTGATGGAGGTGCATGAGTGGTTTGCGCGGCCACCTGACATTTGGGGCATGCTTGAGCATACTTTTGAGTGTCCCGCCGCATCGTGGGCCAGTAGTAACCTTGTCTTAGAAGGGTTTTTTTCCAAGATACGAGGACCAGCATGCATCCCACATGATCCTTCATGTACCTCCTGTACGGCAAAGTGTGCTTCGCCAATGCTAAGGCACCGCAGGTAGGGTCCAGTGAAGCCTTTCTTGTATAAATCTCCCTCGATCAGGAGGTAACGAGGAGCACGTCTCTTAAGGCGGATGGCTTCCTTCTGGTCAGCGGGCAGGAGTCCATGTTTTAGATACTCGATGAGAGGTGTTCGCCAATCGGATTGTGCTGGAAATGAGGTAACTTGGGCGCATAACATTGTTGGACGCCTTTCAATGATCACATGTCTCTCGCTGAGGAAGTCTTGTGTTGTTGCAAGTTTTGATAATGCGTCTGCATGAAGATTATCCTCACGAGATATGTGGACTATCTCCGCTTGAGGAAACTCAGAGAGTGCCATACGAGCGGCATTGGTGTATGGTACAAACGCGGGCTCTCGTACCTCATATGCCCCCTGCACTTGATTGACAACTAGGGCAGAGTCGGAGTGGACCCTAATTCGTTGAATGCCCAATTCTTGAGCCATAATCAGTCCCGCTAGGAGGGCTTCATACTCGGTGGCATTGTTCGTCATGGTGCTGGCAAAGCGAATTGCCAATTCATGAGTGACTCCGAGAGGGCTGATGAGCAAAACTCCTGCTCCTGATCCAGTTTTACTAGATGCACCATCAACGTACAATCTCCAAGTCTCTGTTTCTGGCGGGAGACATGCTCGAACACCTTCTGCAACAAAGTCAGCTAAAAACTGGGACTTGATGGCGGTGCGAGGGAGGAAAGTGATATCGTATTCACTAAGCTCGATGGCCCAGTTCACCATTCTACCAGAAACATCCATCCGCTGAAGTAGACGACGTAAAGGCAGTTGAGAGAGTATACATATGGGGTGGCTTTGGAAGTACGGACGCAGCTTTCGAGTGGCAACCACCACAGTTAGGGCGGCTTTCTCCACAGGAGAGTATCTTGTTTCAGCATCTAATAGGGTCTTACAAGTGTAGTAAATAGGATGCTCTGTATTGTCTATATCTCGGCGAACGAGTACAGCACTCACGGCCTTGGAGGAGACAGCAAAGTATAAGTACAGTGTCTCGTTGTTGACGGGAGATGAGAGTATTGGGGGATTCACCAACTACTCCTTAAGTTCTGTGAAAGCTTTCTCACATTCAGGAGTCCACTGAAAGGTTTTTCCAGCTCCTTTTAGGGTGTTGAAGAAAGGGGCACACCGATCCCCAGCTCGTGAAATGAATCGATTGAGTGCCGCAATCCTTCCTGTTAGAACCTGTACTTCTTTATGCTTTGTAGGTGATGTCATCTAGAGAATCGCTTCAATTTTCCTGGGGTTAACCTCGATTCCACGTCTTGTCACCATGAATCCAAGAAACTTCCCTGCGGTGGCCCCGAAGACGCACTTTTTTGGATTAAGGCGCAAGTTGTATCCTCGTAGGGTATCAAAAGTCTCGCGTAGATCTTCTAAATGTGCATGTGTCTCTGCACTTTTGATTAGGATGTCATCCACATAGGCTTCAACATTTCGACCTAGTTGTCGGGCAAAGACTCGATCCACCATACGTTTATAGGTAGCTCCGGCATTTTTGAGGCCGAACGACATCACCTTGTAGCAATAATTTCCTACCGGAGTCATGAAGGCAGTATATTTTTGGTCGTCCTTCTTTAGTGGGATCTGGTGGTACCCTGAGAACATATCAAGAAAAGAGAGATGGCGATGACCGGCGGTCGCATCAATAAGCAGATCAATCTTGGGCAAAGGATACGGGTCCTTCGGGCAAGCCTTGTTGAGATCGGTGAAGTCAACACACATTCTCCACTGACCGTTGGCCTTTTTAACCATGACCACATTAGCCAACCATGTTGGGTAGAGAACCTCGCTAATGAAGCCGGCTTGCCCTAGCTTGATTACCTCCTCTGCTATGGCCTGGCGACGTTCCCATGCAAAGTTCCTTCTTTTTTGTTGGATGGGCCTACTACCTGGGATTATCCCTAGTGTATGCTCGGCAACTTTTGAATCAAGACCAGGCATATCCTCAGGTCCTTGAGCAAAGAGCTCTTTGTACTCGATCATCAAACTAAGAAGTTGTGGGAGATAATTTTTAGGCCATGCCATGGATACACGAACGGTTCGCCCTTCTTCTAATGTATGTTCTTCATCAGGGTCAACGGGAACGGGACAAGCGACCTCGTCTTTGGCTTCCATCATGGCCACAAAGCCATCTTTAAGGGAGAACTCACAACACTGTCGTGCAAGAGCTTGATCTCCCTTCACACACCCGACTCCATCAATAGTTGGGAACTTCAATTTTAAGTGCAGAGTTGAGGGTATAGCCCAACTTGATGTAGAAAAGGGCGCCCGAGAATGCAGTTGTACGCGGAAGGGCAGTCAATAACATGGAAGTTGATTGTGTTCTCTACGGTTTGTTGGTCATTGCCAATACGAACATGGAGTGGGAGAATCCCCAGAACTGGGACTTGATTTCCGGAGAAGCCCACGAGGTAAATGATAGGAGGGTGACATTTGTTTAGTTGAAGACCCATGGACTTGAAAGCTGGGTAGAATAAAAGATCTGCAGAGCTTCCTCCATCGACGAGGACTCGTTGCACAGGATAGTTTGCAATTACTGCCTTAATGACAAAGCATCATCATGAGGATACTCAATATCTTCAAGATCCCTATCATCGAAAGATATGGGAATTTGTGTAGTAGAAGCGGAACCCACCAACCTTGGGGCACCGGTTGAGCGAGAACCAACTTGTTCGGATAATTTGACCCCACCATGAATGACAGGAACATTTCCCAGCATCGATCCACTTCCCTGTGGTGCTTTTCCTTTGTCTATTATTGGAGGTGAAGGGAGAATAGGGGGACAAATATTCTTTACAAAGTCTCGAAGATAGCCTCATTGGATAAGTCCTTCAATAGAGTGCTTGAGGGTGTAACAGCTTTCTGTATCATGTCCCGTACATCGGTGAAATTCGCAGTAGAATTGTTGGCCATTTCCTGAAACCCTCATAACTAGAGGAGGTTGAGTAATGGGAATTTTCTTCTCTCGAATGATCTGAAGAATGGCTTGTCTAGAGCGATTGAGAGGAGTATAGCTTTGTTGTAACTGGGTATCTTCCCTTCTGGAATTTTGGGAAGAGTCTCGGCCCTCGGCTGCAGGAGCTTGACGTTGTCGGCGGGAATCTTGGGATGAAGTCTCTTGTTTTATTTTGGATCCTGCCCGACTAACCTCCTGAAGTGCTTCTTCTAGATCAATATATTTTGAAACTCGCTCTTGAAGCTCCATAGTGCTATGGGGAGCCCGTTTTGCAAGAGAAGCATATAAATAAGTATTGATAGTCCCTCGGATTAGGGAATTGGTGGCGATCTCAGTGGAAATGGACGTTAGTCCGATGGCGATGTTACTATATCGAGTATAGTAAGCCTTGAGTGTCTCATCATCACGCTGCCTGATGCTGAGGAGTTGATGGATGCTGATAGGTTGTTTTTTTTGTGCGTAGAATTTGCATCTGAAGAGAGTGGCAAATTCGAAGAAACTGGAGATAATACCATCTTGTAACTTTGAGTACCATCGTCGGGCATCTCCACGGAGTGTTGCTGGGAAGATTTTGCACATTGTTGCATCAGATGCTCCGATTAATGGCATTAGGATTTGAAAAGAGCAAAGGTGGTCTTCTGGATCTGTGGTGCCATAATACTTTGGCAAGCTTGGTAAATGAAGATTTGATGGGTAGGGCTCATCCTGCACGATTCTGGATAGAGGTCCTCCTACTCCGGTTGAAGTGACAACTCCGTGTCCTGGGGAAGGTTCGAGCAGATTGGCTGAGAGACTCGGAGCGATTAATCCAACAGGTGCTGACATCCCATTGGGTGGTTCGTTAACCGAGCCATGGGCTGCAACTCTCTCCTGATTATTTGTTACGGGTCCTCTGGAAGATCCAGGAGCATTAATCCGGGAGGCTTCTTTGGCCCTGAGTTGAGCTCTAAGTCGCTCAATCTCAACCTGCATCTCACGTACTTGTGGCGGAGTAGGGGTGGGAATTGCTTCTGGTGCTGGAATTGAGGTATTCTGTGCAAGTGGCATCACTCGGGGCTTTGTATTTTGACTCAGTGCATCGCTGAGTGGTGAACGGGGGGTTGGGTTGCCCCTAGTCTCGATTACTCTTAAAGAGCGACGCACTGCTTCAATGGTAGGAATACTGGGAGAACCTTGGGTATTCATCACGGCTTGGTGGTGGTTTGTTAAAACTTTGGAAATATTCTTCTCACCGGGCCCCACGGTGGGCGCCAATTGTTGATGCCAAGCTTGGAGCAGTCTGCTTCAATATGTTTAAGGTCCGGAGAGCGCTGATTTCCCAAAGCCTTTAACCACCTCCAGCTCCGTGCGAATACCTGAAAAAAAGGTCCCACCGGGGGGGTCCTGGTTGGAACCTCCTCCGACGCTCAAATTAGTAACCTGAATGGAATAAAATAAATACGATGACATTAGACCTGGTTCGGTCCCACGGTCGTAATTGAGCGTCGTCGGCTATTTAATGCCGCCCGGTGGAGGCTATCCACGATTCCGTGGCTTAGTCCGCCAAATTTAGAGTGTGTTGAGTGTTAAGAGATTTAACACTTTTTTGGGAGATCGGGAGGAGAGAGAAAACATTTTTAGAGAGAGAAAGTAGAGAGAGTGTATTTGGTGTGTGAGTTGTATTGTGTGAATTAGTCGTAAGCGATTTATGTGGTGTGTGTGTGTGTGACTTGTTGTTTTTTTGAAAGGGGGAGGGGTGCTCCCTATTTTTAGGAAAAAGTCGTAGTTAAATTCCTCGACTTACGTTAACATTCACCAACATTCTCCATTATTCTCCTATACTCGTTAATATTCTCCGTAATACCTTAACATTCTCCGTCATACACTAATATTTCTCACCAATTATGGTATATGAGAAAGTTCAAGTGTGTATGAGAAAGCATGAGAAAGTGTAAGTATGTAATAGAGAATAAATGAAAATAAGTGAGTGATTATGGAACATAGAAAATTGGTAAATGGTTTTAGTTCTCTACTCTACGTATGCATGGGAATGAGATGCTTATGTGGGAAATAGGTGCAATATGTAAGAACAAAGGGGAGCATGTACATATGTGAATGTTGCATGTTCATGCATGGTTATGCATGTGGAAAGTAAGAAAATGAAAGAAAATGAAAGAAAGAGGAAGAAGTGGAGGTTGGAAGCTTTTGTGTATGGGAGGTGGAATGTTTCTGTATGCATGTATGGGAAGAAGAAAGAAAGAAAATGAATGCGAAAGAACAAAGGAGAAATAAGGAGGAGTGTGTCTGTTTGTCATCTTCCCTTTTGCATGGGGAAGGAGGAAATAAGAAATAGAAAAATCAAATAAAAGAAGGAAGGAAGGAAGGGAAGGAGTACGTGGGAAGGAAAAGGGAAGTAAAAGACAGAATTTATGGTTAGGGAAAGTAACAAGAATAAGAAAAAAAACAATAATAAGAGTTGGAGAGTAAAAACAACATAGGAGATGGATGATTTTAACGGTATAATATGAGTTTTCGGGTGTTTCAAGTACCGTAATAATTAAGAATCTATCGAGTGTATTAACGAAAGGTGAGGTGTTTAATATTTTTAAAATTTTATCGATTAAGAATTGGGTCTATCAAACCTAATAACAATTAACTAACCACACTTACACTATGTAAAGTATTGGTAGTAAGGTACGATTCTATTTCGGACTCTCCCATGTATGTAAACTATCTATCGTGGTCTCATTTGTAGGGATTGATTGATCAACAAAAACTGGATTCCTTCAACCTCCCAATTATCTACATGCCATCCGCCATGGAAGTGGAAGCCGAGGTCCAGAAACAGGGCTCCTTCGCCATTGAACGCCTAGAGGTATGGGATATGAATTGGGACGCCGGCTACGAGGGGGAAGTGACGAGCTTGCCCGCCGGAGACGGTGGCTACAACCTTTCCAAGTGCACGGAGGCGGTGTTTGGTCCGGTCATCGCCCATAACTTTGATTCCACGTCGGAAATCATTGACGAGGTTTTCAAGAGGTACGGTCTCCTTCCATCCAAGGAGAGTCCAATTTAGAGTTTGACGGTCTCGCTCACTAAGCGACGTTGATGACAAAATTGGAAAGAATTAAACACACGCATGCATGCAGAAATGGTATTCGATCATGTTTTTATTCAATGGAGGTTCTATTAAAGTGTAATGCTTCAAGGCAGTGATCCTTTGAGCTTCAGGCTAGTTTGAATTGATCTTTGATTTGTGTGATGTATTGTGATGACAGGTTTTACTTGTATTAGTTTTTGGATGCGTTTCTTATTGAGATCCAGGCACAAAGAAAGAGGGCTAGACTTTTAGCAACCAGTACTAGGCAAATTTATCAGCGCTGCACACTTGCGAAAGATGCGGTGGCTATAATATTCAATAAGACGCGACCCTTTCAAAGTATTAGTGACAAAATTATGTGTTAGAGATGCAATATCATGGCGGTTACTATATATATTGTTTTCGTCGGTCGATTTGGCTAGTTTCCTGGTGGTAGAACAATTTACAGTCCGTTTGTTAATTACGGACACCGAGAGTAGTGATATAGTTAGACCAAAATCATGTGGTAAAGTATTTCGAAACTCATTGGGCTAAACTTCTCTCCTTAATTCTATACACCATGTACTAAACCAAATAATATTTTTTTCAAAATATGTCACGGGGTAACATGCAGTTAGGAATGGATTAGTGTGACAATCTATGAGTTGGTGACAACTTAACGCTACATTAATTAATGTTTGTTTTCTCTGTTTTAAATTCACAGTGAGAGATTAGATGATAACAGTATAACACCAATATCAATCAAGCGGCAGACGAGTAGTACGTATACATGACGTGAGTGTTTGGAGCCACCAACAGCAATGCCTTGAAAAAATAAAAACAAAAAAGAAAATGCATGTGTGTTAATTAGGACGACAAATAGTGACATTTGGAGCCACCAACAGCGGCTCAAGATATGGTGCATAACCATGGGTTATGCATCCATCAATAATCAAATCTGGACCATTCATTTAGAAAATCCAGATCTAAGGATGGAAAATTAAGGACCATTTTTATGTTTCCTAGCTTTCTTAATCGGCTCATATCTTTTTCGTTTTAACTCGGATTTTAATTTTTTTTTGCACAGATGGAACGAGTTCATCGTGCTCTACCAAATGAGAATAATTTTCAATGTTTTTTTAGAAAAAAAAATTCTGGCCTCTCGGTACCAACTGCATACCATATGGTATCTTTTTCGTTTTTAATTCGTTTTTGAAAAAGTTTGCACAGAAGGGACGAGTTCATCATGATCTATTGGATCTACAAATTTCTGGGTGAACAAATTACAGGACCAAAAAATACCATACAATACCACCCTGGTACGGGGTGGTATTGTATGGTATCTTCTTCATTTTTAATTCGTTTTTGAAAAGGTTTGCACAGAAAGGACGAGTTTATCATGATCTATTGGTTTTATAAATTTCTGAGTAAACAAATTACAGGACCAAAAAATACCACACAATACCATACCATACAATACCATACAGGGTGGTATTGTATGGTGTACAATGTTAAAAGTCGTAAATGACAATTAATATACTTCTACTATCATGCATTCAACCATCCTACAGTCTTGGTTTGTTCATACCACCATGGTACGTTTTTCAAACCATAGGTATGCTGTTATTTCAATACCAGTCAATACCATATGGTATAGACTGGTAAAAAATGACTCAATTTTTTTTGTTCGAAAAATATATTAAAGTGGATATCATTTTGAAGAGCACAATTAATCTGATCTAACTGTGCAAAAAAAATTAAATTTCGACTTAAAATGAGTGAGAAATCGTCCGTCAAAGATTAAAGAGGGGAAAATTAAAGGCTTTCCAGGAGAGAGAGGATGCTGATGTCATGCTGATGTGGGCTGGTTACTCATGGTTACTCACCATAATGTTACTGACCTGATCCGTTCCCACCAATAGCAATGCCTTGAAAAAGGTTGAACTAATCGGCTGCAATATTTGGCAACTTGTCAATTATATTTAAGAGAGTTCTGAAATGTTAAATGGTATCACCTATCAAAATCAAATCATCTTTCCTACCAAAAAAAATCAAATCATCTAGAAAATAAATAAAAACGAATGGTTGAGAACCTGGTTGGTGCCCTGGAGATATCGATCAGAGAGTCTCTCTGGGGTCCGTTTGTATTATTGCATTGCTGGACTCAATTAATGTGAGAAAGGAAAACTGGAATTAATGGCGGTACAACTACCAGAAATAATTGCTTCGTGCCTCCTGTAATGCAAAAAAAAAAAAAAAAAAAAAAAAACTACCAGAAATAACTGCGCTAGCTTCTATATAGCTAGCCTGCTGTATTCTTACGTGAAATTAATGCTGCAAATTAAATCGAGTCCATCTAGAAATTTATTCAAACAAATTTATTATATATTGAATTGAATTGCCCATGCATGCAATAAATACCTCCCTATCCATTCCTTTCCTTCAACTTGGAAGACGTACTCCATAATATAATAACAGATCCAGCTCGATCTACCATGTGAAGTGTTTGGGGCTTGGGGGTAGGTTCCATGGCAAATCATCACTCAACGCTTACCAATATAATATAAATGCATCCGAGTGTGACAATGCAAGAACAACCAAACTCCAAAAAATCAATCTCTCTCACTCTCTCTCTCTCTGAAAGCAAGAGATCATGGAAATGGCTAACGTGCTGCACATGAATGGGAGCCTGGAAGACACCAGCTACGCCATGAACTCATTGCTTCAGGTAATTAAATGAAACATCCACCCCGGCCATCACAGAGTTTTTGGGAGACGTTGATGAATTTATACTTCAATCATCATCAACTGTTAATTATATACGTTAGAGGGTCGCGACTCGCGAGTATTTAATTTGAACACGTACGTACGTGTCAATTTGCAGCGGAAGGGGATTTCAAAGACTCTGCCGATAACAAAAGAAACCGTTGTAAGACTTATGCGTAGCTGGAGCTTCCCCAAAGGCAAAGGCAAGCTGGTAATGGCAGATCTGGGTTGCGCTTCAGGGCCTAACACCCTGCTCCTCGTGTCGGAGGTAATTAAGGCCGTCTCCAGGGAGCTAGGACAGGAATGCCCTGAGCTTCAGATCTTCCTAAACGACCTCCCTGGAAACGACTTCAACAATGTCTTCACCTCCATTCAAGGATTCAAGGAAAACATGAAGAAAGAAATGGGAGATCCGAATTCATTGATTTCCATCGCCGGAGTTCCAGGTTCTTTCTATGACAGGCTTTTCCTGACCGACAGCCTTCACTTCATCCACTCTTCCTACAGTCTTCACTGGCGCTCTCAAGTTCCTGAAGGTCTGGAGGAGAACAAGGGAAACATTTACCTGGCGAGTAGCAGCCCTCCAGGTGTGTTGGAGGCTTATTGCAAACAGTTCCAGACCGACTTTTCTTCCTTCTTGAAGTTTAGGTCTCAGGAATTGGTGACAGGAGGTCGGATGGTATTGACAATTCCTGGAAGGAGAGGCGAACAACATTCTGAGAAAGAGTGTTGCTACCTTGTTATGTCGATGGCTCTCAACCAAATGGCAACTGAGGTACATTATATATATTGAAAAAGAACAATCAAAGATCGAGTGTTGCTATTATTGTCATTGTACGTGAAGCTAAGTCTCACATCACATGTATATAATACTTACTGTATGTATCGATCCTTGCTGCAGGGATTAATAGATCAACAAAAACTGGATTCCTTCAACCTCCCACTTTACATGCCATCCGCCATGGAAGTGGAAACCGAGGTCCGGAAACAGGGCTCCTTCGCAATTGAACACCTGGAGTTGTGGGATATGGATTGGAATGTCTACGAGGGGGAGGCGAATTTGGCCGGAGACGGTGGCTACAACCTTTCCAAGTGCATGAAGGCGGTGTTTGATCCGGTCATCGCCCATCACTTTCATCTGTCCAGGGAAATCACCGACGAGGTTTTCAGGAGGTACGCTCTCCTTCTCTCCGATTGGATGGCCAAGGAGAGTCCTGTTTTCATGAGTCTGACCGTCTCGCTCACTAAGCGACATTGATAGACAAAATTGGAAAGAATTCGACACATGCTAGCTGAAAAGGGTATTCGATCGTGTTTCCTGGATTGCTCATCTCTGGTTATCGTACAAGCTAGGGAACGGTACAAGATTAATATGTTTGTATTATTATAATTTTTTTATTGCATTTTGGTTTTGAAGTTCCACAAATAGGCTAATTTTTTATGTGTAATTAAATCACATTCCAATAAATGGGTATTCATACCCAACTCATATACATTTAGATAATGGAAGTAAATATCCACTCACGCGGCCAAACTCATCCACAAACTTCCAAACCCATACAAACACGGATACACCAACTCATACACATTTTTCGTTGTTGCTAATCTCTGGTTATCGTACAAGGGAATGGTACAAGATTAATATGTTTGTATTATTTTATCTTTTTTTATGAATAAGGGAGCTTGCATTCCATTACTATACGAGATATAAGAAAAAATACTTACAAAGACTAAATAATGAGGCACATATTAAAATAGTCTCTAAAAGTAAGATATATGCAACAACGAATAAAGGCTTGGTCTAGTGGTAATACCACTAACCAAGAACTTGGAGGTTTCAGGTTCGAATCCTTTCAGTAATACTTTAATTATAAAAAGTAAATCTATATCACAATTATAAAAAAGAAAAAAAAAGTATGATATATGCAACATATTGTAAATATGACATTATATGTATAATTAAATATATATGTTCTCATTTCAGTCTTTGGCTAATTAATTGATCATGTCCATTTAAATACTCCTTGTCCAAATAATTGTTCCGCCATTTAATTGGAATTTTTCCAGAAATACAACTGTTTAAAAAAAGAATTCCAAAAAGACCACCCAACCCCAAACAATTCCAAAAATACCACCCTTTTTCAAAAACAGCTGGGCGGGGACGCGTTTTTCTATGCAAACCGCTGGGCTAAGAAGAGGTTATAAAAACGTTGGGTGGGGCGATGGTTTTGGGCCAAACCGCCACCCCACCCAGCGGTTTGGTCCAATATATTTTTTTTTTTTCCGATCAACTCCTAACTTCGGCCGAAACTTCAAACGAACGTAACTTTGCACTCGGCTATCCGATTTTAGCGATTTTTTTCTATTTCGCATAACATTTCAAGATCTACAACTTTTACTAGTATGAAATTTTCAAAACAGGAATTAGTTGTGGATATACGGGACCTTGGGAATAACTTTACCTTTAATTTTCACAAATCCATGTACATTTCGAAATTATGATTATCTTAAAACTTGTAGATCTTGAAAAGTTGTGTGGAATCAAAAAAAAATTCATGACGTTTGGATTTTGGAGCACAAAGTTATGACCGCCCAAAGTTTGACGAAATCAAAAAAAGGCTCGTTCGGGGTAGCAAATGACGTTTTTCGAGATGAAGGCGGGACCAAACCTCCTATGGCCGTTTGCGGCTTGCAAGATCTCGAAAAGTTATTCGGATTAAAAAAAAAACGCTACGATCGGATACCCGAGTGCAAAGTTACATTCGTTTGAAGTTTCGGCCAAAGTTCGGAGTTGATCGAAAAAAAAAAACAAATTGGACCAAACCGCTGGGTGGGGTGGCGGTTTGGCCCAAAACCGCGGCCCCACCCAGCGGTTTTTATAACCGCCCCTTAGCCCAGCAGTTTGCATAGAAAACCGCGCCCCCTCGCAGCGGTTTTCGTGTAAACCGCAGGGTGGGGTGGCGGTTTTTGAAAAAAGGTGGTATTTTTGGAATTTTTTGGAGTTGGGTGGTATTTTTTGAATTCTTTTTTTAAACAGTGGTACTTTTGGATTTTTTTCCCATTTAATTTGGTGGGCCCGGCCCGTCAGTTTTCGTATCGTGTCATGCAAGCTCATTTGTTAACTTTGCAAGGCCCGGCCCAGGCCCGAACACAGTTCGAATCGTGTCATGCATATTCGTGCTCGTGCCATGCTCGTATTCGTGTTTAATGAAAAGGACGAAAACAAAAGAGAGAATGAAAAAGAATGTGAAAATTGGACGGAGAAAGATAGTGTTAACCGATAATGTTTGAGAAAAGTAACAAATAAGTGGGAAAAGAAAATTGGAAGTATAGCAAGTGTAATTACGTATATATCTTTATGACACTTCTAACAACAACAAATAATTATTTTTCTACTTTTGTTTTGTAATATTTGAACCTATAATTCTTTTTATACTTATTTTCTATCAAATAAATATTATTTTCGTGTCATGTCCGTTCTTATACTCAATAAAGTCTCGAAAATATTGCCCACTTATATACCGTGTAGTGCCCGTGCTCGTGCCCATGAAGTTTAGGCCCAGCACGGACCATAAATTATTCGTGCTCGTGTCGCGCTGGGCCATTTATTTCGTGCACGTGCTGGTGTCGTGCTCTAACCGTGCCGTGCTAGCCCGTGGGCGGCACGGTCCGGTGCCCACGTACATCTGGAAGTTATAATTGGAGGATCATAAAGGAGGGAAACCCTGTTATAGAAGGCGCGGGGGAGACAAGTAGGACAAGAAACAAAGAAGCTATGTGTGGTGCTAGTTATCTATTTGAAAATTAAAAGATAATGGTTTCTCAAAAAGAGGTAAGAATCGGAACCCTTTTATCGGTCATTAATAAATAAATGATAATTAGAATCTATTGGTTCTATGTATAGAATTGTGAAAACAATAAATTCTTGTGCATGCTAGAAAGATAAAATTAGAGTTGTTGCATGAAAATGTTGACATTGAGATGTGCTTTCTTCAATTATTTAGAGTACAACTTAGTGTACATATTGGAAGGGGTAAATTTAAATCCATACTCTGAAGTATATGTGAATATATATTATGTAGTAAATAACTAAATATGCTAGTGAAATGGGTCGAATGCCCATAATTATTTTGAAAGAAGTACTGTTTGTCAGTATTAAGTGAATTATTCATGCGTTTTTGAACCCTAAAGGTTTGAGATCAGAGTAGCAAGTCAAACCATATTTACACCAATTAGAATGGTACCATTCGTGGGAACCAAAGGATCTGCAGCCAATCATTAAGAATGACTTAGGTTAAATGACACGAAAGTGTAGGAACAAGTATAAAACTGCTTCTAGTGTTAACTTGATTGAAAAGAAGGATTGATGGTCGTGATGATTGTGAAAAGAGTAGAGATTAACCTTGCTAGTAACTCTGAAGAATGGTGGCTGAATACTGGTACCTCGAAGCATACTAAGGCATATGCTATTAAAAAAGTGTTGTTGAGTATTGCTCACTCCACTATTGTTAATGGTCATGAGAGTATGCATATGCTTGTTTTTGTTGTCTGTTTTGTTTTATGAAATTTGGGCACTTGATTTCATTAAACCAGACCAGTTTTTGAATCTCCACTGAAGCAAAAAAATTTCTTTTTTTTTTTAACACACCCCCCCTCCCCCCAAACCCTACTTCAACATAACAGCCGACCCCCCAAACCCTTCCATTTTCTTCTCAACAGAGGCATCACCTCTGCGTCGCCCCCGCCACTTCCGCCTCCCCGCCGCGCCGGCCGCCACCTCCGTAGTCGCCGCTCGTCCAGCCTCCGCACCCCAACCCCTCTGCCGCCTCACCTCCACCTCTCCGCTTCCGCGCCGCGCAGCCCACCCTGCCCGACCGCGCAGCCCGCCCACGCAGTCGCCGCCGCAGTCCGCCTGCCGCCGACCACTTTCCCTCCATAAAAGCCTCACTCCATCTCCCCGCAGTAGGTAATTTCGACTTCTTCAAAGTATTATGTTAGTCTATACTTTCTGAATATGTTCATGAATTTGGCATGTATGTAGTGATTGCTAGATTAGTTATTTGTGAATCTGGATTGATTGCTATGTTCTTTGTTTTGTGGTTTACCTCAGTTATGGAGAAAATTGTTGAAAATGGTGATGTTGATTGTGTGGAGAGTCAGAAAATTGATAATGGGGAGAGGGATGATAGCAAAATATGGGGGGTGATAAAGCAGAATCTGTGTTCATTGATCTTTTGGCGGAAGAAGTTAAAAAGGGAAATCGTGCTACTTCAACCTTTTCACCAACTGGATTCGCCAATCTCATTGCTGGTTTGAAAGAGCGGTTGAAAAGAGACTATACTAAGACTCAAGTGAAGAATAAGTCTAATGGGTTAAGGGGTAGACTCAGAGCTTTCAAGACATTGCTTAGTCATACTGGAGTGGGATATGAAGCTTCAACTGGTTTTGTTAGTGCAGAAGAACATGTTTGGGAAAGTGTTATCAAGGTAATAAATTAATCTCTTTTCAATAATAATAATAATAATTAAAATGAATGTTAAAAACTCATTTTACTTAATTTGAGATGATTTTAGTAATGAGTGTAGGGTTCAAAGTTACATCTTAGATTTCGAAAGCATGGATGTCCTGAATATGACAAGTTGTGCTACATATTTGGTGACACTACTGCTTCTGGAAATAGTGCTCGTCCTTCAACCAAAGCTGCTTCTAGTAGTAATGAGGAAGAGTTGGCTGCAACCAAAAGTGTTGAGGTAACTAATCTTGATGGTGAAGAGGAAGAAATTGTTGCAAGTCCTGTTGTTGGTAAGGAGGATAAGAAAAAAAACAAAGGCAAGGGGAAAAAAAGAAAGCGAGATAAGATTAGCTATGCTGAGTCCATAGGAACATTGTTGTCATCCATGGTTGAGCGAGAAAAAATGAAAGTTGAGCATGAGGCACAAAAGATGGTTTCTTCATCTGTGGGAGGAGGTGAAGTCTCCTCCAAGCCAAGTGATGATGGGCAACTTATGGAGTGTGTCAAGCTTTTGGATGAGATGAAAGTTAATGGTGCTTTGTTTGCATCAGCTGTGAAGTGTCTCCATGATTTTAAAGAATATTAAAATGTGTTCTTGAATGTGTTCGAAGAGAGGAGGCGTGATTCGTTGCAACTTTGGATGTGATGGATTCTTTGGCTCTTTTGGCTGTATTTTTATGTTTAAAACTCTCTTGTTCTGTACTATTTTGGAGTGTTATCATTTGGTTTGAAGTTGGTTTGTAATGAATATTTGTATGAATGTTGGATTTGATTATGATTTGTAATGAATGTGTTGTGATGTTATTTCTATGGATGTTCATTACTTTACTTTGTATACACAGATAAATGGCTACTTTTTCAGATTCATCAGCAGACTCTGATGACGATAAATTTGTAGTAGTAATGTTAGCATTGATGGAGGAGGATAGGAGGAAGTCGTCTTCTAAAACTCCTTGTAGAACATCAGATA